GTGGGGTCACCACATACTGTTGAGTAGCCTTGAAGTACTGGTGTTTATGTTGCTCCTCACCTTCCTTTGTTTTGGCTGTCTTCCTGTTCACATTACTGTTGTGATCCAGTGCAGCAACCCGCAGACGTGCCTCAAAGCTCTCCTTCAGAGACTTCTTTCTTTTTGTGGCATACTTTGTGTGCAAGGAGTGAAGACTTTTCAGCTGTCCTGTGTGAATTCATCCAGTGTGGATTATTCCAGTTTCTTCAGGAGCTGCTTGTCAAGCACTATCTTCTGAAAGGTGCTGAAAGCCAGCAGAGTTTAGAGAGCATAGCAGACTCTCCTTCCGGAGGGGTGTAGGTAGGGTGGACGTCCACACTTGGTGATGTCTCACCGGACACCCAGTAATGCACATTGGTAATGTGATGAAGGACTGAGATCCACTTCTCTTTCAGCTTCATCACACTTCCCAAACATGTTGTGACACAAAACCAGACGTGGTTTGTGATCATTCTGATCCACTCAAACAGCTCCTCGTTGTGGCACTGCAGCAGTCGCTTTTTGACAGACTTCACAATGTGCCAGAGGTCATACTCATGCTGTATGGATTTATATTCCAGGCTGATGACTTTCTGCACTGATGGGTGGCAGTCGGTTGCTAAAACAGATATGGTGACATCATACTCTTCCAAGTGGGAAAGGCACCTCTCCAGATCTTCTACCTCAAGCAAATAACTGTTCTTCACCTGTGTGACTTTAACGGTTTCCTGTGCCACCACCAGGTTCGACTTGATGTCCAGGAGTGAGTATGTTCCATATGAGGCGTTGTGACCTGGACTGTCATATCTGGAGTCTCCTGACACAATGAGCTGCTCATCAGATAGGGCGTTCAGTACAGCCTCATTGTGTACTGTCCAGACATTATTGACCTCTAGGATGACATAGGCCTTCTGTATGTTGAACCACTGCCTTTTGGAGATGGTTTCCAGACCAATGGTGTCACATACCTCCATGAATGGACTGCACTCATTTCCAGTGACAAATACAGCAGCAGGGACAGAAACATTGCATTCCATTATTCCTCTAACTAAAGGCTGAGAATGCCACGTATAATCATGGCCATCAATGCATTCTGTGTTTACTCTAAGCCCAAATCCAATTTTGGAAACTGCAGGTGGTCTTACCAAACATTTTCCACAACCTTGCCAATGGCACACATGAAAGAGCTTTAATAATTCTGCTGTCGACACAATGTCTCAAACTCACCATCTGAGGCATTATCTTGACTCTCCTCCATTAGGAATTCTTCCTCAGAATCTTCACAGTCCTCACTGCTAAGGTCAAGATCTTGCTGAGATGATGGTGCAGTAGCTAGTGAGAGGCCTTCTGCAGATGTGCAATAGGAGTGGTCATTGTTTATTATTTTGTTGGTAAGTACGTCATCTGTCAAAGTGCCTGTGCTGATGTATTGCTTATTGCCTCCCTCTTCTCTTTAATATTCAAATGTGTCAGTCTGTGTGCTGACTGACTGACTGTCAGGGTTGGGGCACTGCCTCTCCTGCTCTCACTCCTGCTCTCACTCCTCCTTTTAATTACTACAGGGACTATATAAGATTTCAAAAAATGTTTATTTTAAAATTATGTCGTAAATGTATGTAGGTTAATGTATTGACAGACGGTCAGCACTCAGGGTTTAAAAAGTAAGATATAGTTCAAAAAGTAAATAATTGTGCCTTACGTTGTTTCGTGATTATTACGAAATATTTTTATTTGCCAATAGACTTTTCGGCAGTTGTACCATGTGAAACAATCAACACATGGTAAAAAACTTTATTGCA